GTGTGTGTGTGTGTGTGTGTGTGTGTGTGTGTGTGTGTGTGTGTGTGTGTGTGTGTGTGTGTGTGTGTGTGTGTGTGTGTGTGTGTGTGTGTGTGTGTGTGTGTGTGTGTGTGTGTGTGTGTGTGTGTGTGTGTGTGTGTGTGTGTGTGTGTGTGTGTGTGTGTGTGTGTGTGTGTGTGTGTGTGTGTGTGTGTGTGTGTGTGTGTGTGTGTGTGTGTGTGTGTGTGTGTGTGTGTGTGTGTGTGTGTGTGTGTGTGTGTGTGTGTGTGTGTGTGTGTGTGTGTGTGTGTGTGTGTGTGTGTGTGTGTGTGTGTGTGTGTGTGTGTGTGTGTGTGTGTGTGTGTGTGTGTGTGTGTGTGTGTGTGTGTGTGTGTGTGTGTGTGTGTGTGTGTGTGTGTGTGTGTGTGTGTGTGTGTGTGTGTGTGTGTGTGTGTGTGTGTGTGTGTGTGTGTGTGTGTGTGTGTGTGTGTGTGTGTGTGTGTGTGTGTGTGTGTGTGTGTGTGTGTGTGTGTGTGTGTGTGTGTGTGTGTGTGTGTGTGTGTGTGTGTGTGTGTGTGTGTGTGTGTGTGTGTGTGTGTGTGTGTGTGTGTGTGTGTGTGTGTGTGTGTGTGTGTGTGTGTGTGTGTGTGTGTGTGTGTGTGTGTGTGTGTGTGTGTGTGTGTGTGTGTGTGTGTGTGTGTGTGTGTGTGTGTGTGTGTGTGTGTGTGTGTGTGTGTGTGTGTGTGTGTGTGTGTGTGTGTGTGTGTGTGTGTGTGTGTGTGTGTGTGTGTGTGTGTGTGTGTGTGTGTGTGTGTGTGTGTGTGTGTGTGTGTGTGTGTGTGTGTGTGTGTGTGTGTGTGTGTGTGTGTGTGTGTGTGTGTGTGTGTGTGTGTGTGTGTGTGTGTGTGTGTGTGTGTGTGTGTGTGTGTGTGTGTGTGTGTTTACTAGTTGTGTTTTTACGGGGGTTGAGCTTTGCTCTTTCGGGCCGCTCTTAACTGTCAATTAACTGTTTACTAACTACTTTTTTTTCCCACACCACACACACACACACCCCAGGAAGCAGCCCGTGACAGCTGACTAACTCCCAGGTACCTATTTACTGCTAGGTAACAGGGGCATTCAGGGTGAAAGAAACTTTGCCCATTTGTTTCTGCCTCGTGCGGGAATCGAACCCGCGCCACAGAATTACGAATCCTGCGCGCTATCCACCAGGCTACGAGGCCCCCCTCGTGTGTGTGTGTGTGTGTGTGTGTGTGTGTGTGTGTGTGTGTGTGTGTGTGTGTGTGTGTGTGTGTGTGTGTGTGTGTGTGTGTGTGTGTGTGTACTCACCTAGTTGTGCTTGCGGGGGTTGAGCTCTGGCTCTGTGGTCCCGCCTCTCAACCGTCAATCAACTGGTGTACAGGTTCCTAAGGCTATTGGGCTCTATCATATCTACACTTGAAACTATGCATGGAGTCAGCCTCCATTCACAGTTTAAACGATCCTGTAGAGAACTGGCCAGATGCTCTGCCAGGATGATTTCTTAATTAATCGCCAACAATCAGTCACATAAACAATTACTCAACAAATTAAACTCACTCGAGCAATCCATTACTCATCCAGGTAATCCATTACTCAACCATTGCCAGTGAGATGAGTGAATATTATCCTCCTGATTGTTAGTAGAGAGGTAGAGATTGTTGGATTGTGGTTGTTACGGAGGCGAGTATATCATCAAGAAACAATTAAACAAGTTCTTAACAGGAATCGGCGCACCACCCGCATGATATAGGATTTGTGGGTCTGCCGAAGGCTTCAAGCAACAGCCTTCTTGATCAAGTTCTCACAAGAACAGCCTGGCTTGAGGCCTGGCTTAGGTAGTACATGAACTTCAGGAACTCACTCCAGGTATACTTCAGGTATACTCCGGGTATACTTCAGGTATACTTCAGGTATACTTCAGGTATACTTCAGGTATACTTCAGGTATACTTCAGGTATAGTCCAGGTATGCTTCAGGTATACTTAAGGTATACTTCAGGTATACTACCTCTAGATTGAGGGGATAGGAGACGTGGTCTCCTATGCAATTATGTGGTCATTGTAAACTTAGAGTCATGTGGTCATTGTAAACTCAGTCATGTGGTCATTGTAAACTCAGTCATGGGGTCATTGTAAACTTACAGGGATGTGGTCATTGTAAACTATGCAAGGATGTGGTCATTGTAAACTTAGTCATGTGGTCATTGTAAACTTAGTCATGTGGCCATTGTAAACTCATAGTCATGTGGTCATTGTAAACTTACAGGGCTGTGGTCATTGTAAACTAGGCAAGGATGTGGTCATTGTAAACTATGCAAGGATGTGGTCATTGTAAACTTAGTCATGTGGTCATTGTAAACTATGCAAGGATGTGGTCATTGTAAACTTAGTCATGTGGTCATTGTAAACTATGCAAGGATGTGGTCATTGTAAACTTAGTCATGTGGTCATTGTAAACTGTGATATTGCATTTCAACCAGTGACTCCCTCAGTTGTACTTCGAACCCGGACCAGTAAATTATGGGGCGAGGACGGTAACCACTACCACCACTACTACCACTACCACCACCACTACTACCACCATTACCACCACTACCACCACTAGTACCACCACTACCACCACTAGTACCACTATTACCACCACTACTACCACCACTACTACCACCATTACCACCACTACCACCACTAGTACCACCACTACCACCACTAGTACCACTATTACCACCACTACTACCACCACTACTACCACCATTACCACCACCACCGCCGCAGCCGGCTGGTGAGTGACGGTTGCCGGCTGGTCTGGCCTCGCTGATAAGCCGGCAAGAAACGACAGGTCTTTGTAGCGGTGTCTGTAGTGAACATGAAGATGGTGCCAAGACTGTCCTCCACCTCCACCCTCCCCTAGGCTGTGTCTTGTTGGTGTGTGTGTGGGGGGGGGGAGTGTGTGTGTGTGTGTGTGTGTGTGTGTACTCACCCAGTTGTACTCACCTAGTTGTGCTTGCGGGGGTTGAGCTTTGGTTCTTTGGTCCCGCCTCTCAACTGTCAATCAACTGGTGTGCAGGTTCCTGAGCCTATTGGGCTCTATCATATCTACACTATAAACTGTGTATGGAGTCAGCCTCCACCACATCACTGCCTAATGCATTCCATCCGTTAACTACTCTGACACTGAAAAAGTTCCTTCTAACGTCTCTGTGGCTCATGTGGGTACTCAGTTTCCACCTGTGTCCCCTTGTTCGTGTCCCACCAGTGTTGAATAGTTTATCCTTGTCTACCCTGTCAATACCCCAGAGGATCTTCTAGGTTGTGATCATGTCCCCACTTACTCTTCTGTCTTCCAGTGTCGTAAGGTGCATTTCCCGCAGCCTTTCCTCGTAACTCATGCCTCTTAGTTCTGGGACTAGTCTAGTGGCATACCTTTGGACTTTTTCCAGCTTCGTCTTGTGCTTGACAAGGTACGGGCTCCATGCTGGGGCCGCATACTCCAGGATTGGTCTTACATATGTGGTGTACAAGATTCTGAATGATTCCTTACACAGGTTCCTGAACGCCGTTCTGATGTTAGCCAGCCTCGCATATGCCGCAGACGTTATTCTCTTTATGTGGGCTTCAGGAGACAGGTTTGGTGTGATATCAAATCCTAGATCTTTCTCTCTGTCTGTTTCATTAAGTACTTCATCTCCTATTCTGTATCCTGTGTCTGACCTCCTGTTTCCACTGTCTAGTTTCATTACTTTGCATTTACTCGGGTTGAACTTCAACAGCCATTTGTTGGACCATTCACTCAGTCTGTCTAGTCATCTTGTAGCCTCCTACTATCATCCTCTGTTTCAATCCTTCTCATAATTTTTGCATCGTCGGCAAACATTGAGAGGAACGAATCTATACCCTCTGGGAGATCATTTACATATACCAGAAACAGTATAGGGCCAAGGACTGACCCCTGCGGGACTCCACTCGTAACGTCTCGCCAATCTGAGACCTCACCCCTCACACTGACTCGTTGTCTCCTGTTGCTTAGGTACTCCCTTATCCAACGGAGTACCTTCCCTTTCACTCCAGCCTGCATTGATCCGTCCAGCAACCAGGAGGCCTGGTCGACGACCGGGCCGCGGGGACACTAAGCCCCGGAAGCACCTCAAGGTAGCCTCAAGGTATCTCCAGCTTTTTCACTAGCCTTTTGTGTGGCACTGTGTCAAAGGCTTTCTGACAATCCAAAAATATGCAGTCTGCCCACCCTTCTCTTTCTTGCCTTATTTTTGTTGCCTGGTCGTAGAATTCAAGTAACCCTGTGAGGCAGGACCTGCCATCCCTGAACCCATGTTGATACTGTGTTACAAAGTTCCTTTGCTCCAGATGCTCCACTAGCTTTCTTCGCACAATCTTCTCCATCAGCTTGCATGGTATGCAGGTTAGGGACACCATCTTCACTACCACTTACCTCACACGTCCCTCACCAGTTCCTTCACCATTTGGTCACCACTTGGTCCGGGAGACATCTCCGTCACGCAGGGTGCAGTTGCGCCTCCACAGATCTCCAGTATCATCTTTTGATACTGGTAATGGCTCGAAAGGGCCACCACTTACGGGCTATTCATGCCCGTGCCACCTCTTGGGTGGCTTAATCTTCATCAATCAATCAATCACCAGTTCCTTCACCCCCTGACAACCTCCCCCCCCCTGAGCCACACACAAGCAGGGGTGAACCACCAGAGAGCACCTACACCACTTACTACCCACCTTGTGTGTGTGTGTCCCCTGAGCCACACACAAGCAGGGGTGAACCACCAGAGAGCACCTACACCACTTACTACCCACCTTGTGTGTGTGTGTCCCCTGAGCCACACACAAGCAGGGGTGAACCACCAGAGAGCACCTACACCACTCACTACCACACCTCAATGCAATTCGGCTCTCAATCAAGGCCAGTTATAACCCAAATTGACTGAGTAAATGACCAGACTGTTAAACTGTCTTGTTTTCCTGTGTTACGACTAGCTGCCAGGGACGCCCCAGGGATGGCCAGGGACGCCCCAGGGACGGCCAGGGACGGCCAGGGAAGGCCAGGGACACCCCAGGGAAGGCCAGGGACACCCCAGGGACGGCCAGGGACACCATAGGGGAGGCCAGGGACACCCCAGGGGAGGCCAGGGACACCCCAGGGACGGCCAGGGACTCCCCAGGAACGGTCAGGGACTCCCAAGGGACGGCCAGGGACGCCCCAGGGGAGGCCAGGGACACCCCCAGGGACGGCCAGGGACTCTCCAGGGATGGCCAGGGACGCCCCAGGGACGCCAGGAACGCCCCAGGGACGGCCAGGGACGGTCGGGGACGGCCAGGGACACCTCATGGACGGCCAGGGACGCCCCAGGGACGGCCAGGGACGCCCAGGGACGGTCAGGGACGGTCAGGGATGGCCAGGGACACCTCAGGGACGGTCAGGGACGCCAGGAGAGGCCAGGGACGCCCCAGAGACGACCAGGGACACCCCAGGGAGGCCAGGGACACCCCAGAAAAGGCCAGGGACGTCCAGGGACGCCCCAGGGACGGCCTGGGACGCCCCAGGGACGGCCAGGGATGGCCAGGGACACCCCAGGGACGCCCCAGGGACACCTCAGGGACGCCAGGGACGCCCCATGGACACCCCAGGGACGGCCAGGGACACCCCAGGGACGGCCAGGGACGCCCCAGGGACACCCCAGGGACGCCCCAGGGACGGCCAGGGACACCCCAGGGACGGCCATGGACGCCCCAGGGGACATCCCAGGGACGCCCCAGGGACGCCAGGGACGCCCCAGGGAACAATTCCACCAAACATTTAAGAAGATTAAGAGTTACAATAAGCACTGAGACACACTCAGGTCGACGACATCAAGATGTGAGAGTTACCAGAGAACTCTTGCTCTTGAACCCCTCTACAGCAGTCACTGAGAGCTCTTGAACCCCTCTACAGCAGTCACTGAGAGCTCTTGAATCCCTCTACAGCAGTCACTGAGAGCTCTTGAACCCCTCTACAGCAGTCACTGAGAGCTCTTGAACCCCCCTACGCAGTCACTGAGAGCTCTTGAATCCCTCTACAGCAGTCACTGAGAGCTCTTGAACCCCTCTACAGCAGTCACTGAGAGCTCTTGAACCCCTCTACGCAGTCACTGAGAGCTCTTGAACCCCTCTACAGCAGTCACTGAGAGCTCTTGAACCCCTCTACAACAGTCACCGAAAGCTCTTGAACCCCTCTACAGCAGTCACTGAGAGCTCTTGAACCCCGCTACAGCAGTCGCTGAGAGCTCTTGAACCTCCTCTACAGCAGTGACTGAGAGCTCTTGAACCCCTCTACAGCAGTCAATGATAGCTCTGTAGAGTACACTCTACACTTGTACACTTGTACTCTGCTGTAGAGTACACTCTACAGCAGTCACTGAGAGCTCTTGAACCCCTCTACAGCAGTCACTAAGAGCCGTGTTCCTCTCTTACTTAATGGTAAGAGCCTCTACAGTAGTCGTGAAGAACTTTCACTAACAGCCAGGCAGAGAGTAATTGGCTTGACTACCGAACTAGGCAGTTGGCTCCAAACTGCCCCATTGAGCGCCAGTCAAGAGGAAAGTCTGACTTTAGACTACAGAGGCCTAGAAAACTCTTGAAAGTCTGCTCAGGTAAATCACCAATGGAAGAGAGGGAATTATGAGGGGGGAAAGCGCCAAGCCATTACGATTATATAGCACTGGGAAAAGGAGTCAGGATAAGGATTTTGGGATGGGACGGTGGGAAAGGAATAGTGCCCAATCACTTGAGGTGGGGAGGGTAGAGCGACGATCTGGCTTCATGCAGGTCGGCGTTCGATCCCCGACCGTCACTTACAAAGTCCTGGCACACATAAAGTGACTCTCAAGGCCTGGCATATGGGCAGAGTCACTTACAATGGCTGAGTCAGTCGAGTATTATGACAGAAATCATCAAGATAACCCAGTTTATATACGATATCGTCGTTATCGTCGCTGATATCCTGTTATGTCACGCGGGACTGAGTCGTTGAGGATGATGTAGAGACTTGTTGTTAAGTCTGTCTGTGGTTCATTAAACATTATCTCACTGTGTGTGTGTGTGTGTGTGTGTGTGTGTGTGTGTGTGTGTGTGTGTGTGTGTGTGTGTGTGTGTGTGTGTGTGTGTGTGTGTGCGCAGGGCTCTGCAGCTTGCTCAGACCTCCCTTGAGCACAGCTGGGACATCATACAGGTCTTCTGTGTTAGCTGGGAGCCTCCTGATGTCAGCTGGGACATCATACAGGTCTCCTGTGTTAGCTGGGAGCCTCCTGATGTCAGCTGGGACATCATACAGGTCCCCTGTGTTAGCTGAGAGTCTCCAGATGTCAGCTGGGACATCATACAGGTCTTCTGTGTTAGCTGGGAGCCCCCAGATGTCAGCTGGGACATCATACAGGTCTCCTGTGTCAGCTGGGACATCATACAGGTCTCCTGTGTTAGCTGGGAGCCCCCTGATGTCAGCTGGGACATCATACAGGTCTCCTGTGTTAGCTGGGACATCATACAGGTCTTCTGTGTTAGCTGGGAGCCCCCTGATGTCAGCTGGGACATCATACAGGTCTCCTGTGTTAGCTGGGAGTCTCCAGATGTCAGCTGGGACATCATACAGGTCTCCTGTGTTAGCTGGGAGTCTCCAGATGTCAGCTGGGACATCATACAGGTCTCCTGTGTTAGCTGAGAGTCTCCAGATGTCAGCTGGGACATCATACAGGTCTCCTGTGTCAGCTGGGACATCATACAGGTCTTCTGTGTTAGCTGGGAGCCCCCTGATGTTAGCTGGGACATCATACAGGTCTTCTGTGTTAGCTGGGAGCCCCCTGATGTCAGCTGGGACATCATACAGGTCTCCTGTGTTAGCTGGGAGTCTCCAGATGTCAGCTGGGACATCATACAGGTCTCCTGTGTTAGCTGGGAGTCTCCAGATGTCAGCTGGGACATCATACAGGTCTCCTGTGTTAGCTGGGAGTCTCCAGATGTTAGCTGGGACATCATACAGGTCTCCTGTGTTAGCTGGGAGTCTCCAGATGTCAGCTGGGACATCATACAGGTCTCCTGTGTTAGCTGGGAGCCCCCTGATGTCAGCTGGGACATCATACAGGTCTCCTGTGTTAGCTGGGAGTCTCCAGATGTCAGCTGGGACATCATACAGGTCTCCTGTGTTAGCTGGGAGTCTCCAGATGTCAGCTGGGACATCATACAGGTCTCCTGTGTTAGCTGGGAGTCTCCAGATGTTAGCTGGGACATCATACAGGTCCCCTGTGTTAGCTGGGACATCATACAGGTCCCCTGTGTTAGCTGGGACATCATACAGGTCCCCTGTGTTAGCTGGGAGCCACCTGATGTCAGCTGAAACATCATACAGGTCTCCTGTGTTAGCTGGGACATCATACAGGTCCAGAAGTACCATCCTCGACCCCCACATGAGAGCAGGGAAGAGCCTTGCCCGGACACATCAAAATGTGTCCGACTTTCTTGGCCAGCGTCTGAGAGACTTTATTGAGAAAGTTGGATTGGATTCAAAGATAGTTTTGTCGGTCGCTGCTTGGGCTGTTATAAACATAATCCTTGGTAGGGCCTAGTGGTCTGTGGTGGGAGAGAGAGAGAGAGAGAGAGAGAGAGAGAGAGAGAGAGAGAGAGAGAGAGAGAGAGAGAGAGAGAGAGAGAGAGAGAGAGAGAGAGAGAGAGAGAGAATTATCTTGCTACTTAATGGCGACGACTAACTGAAGTTCCACACGCACACACACATGCGTGTGTGTGTGCGTGTGTGTGTGTGTGTGTGTGTGTGTGTGTGTGTGTGTGTGTGTGTGTGTGTGTGTGTGTGTGTGTGTGTGTGTATATATAAGCGTATGTGAAAATATATGAGCATATAATTGTGAATGTGAGTGTAAATTAGTGAGAGAGTGATTATATATTATCATATATAAGTGAATTTATAATATCCCAAACATCTCAATTTCGAGGCCTGAGCCATATTTTGGAGCCAAATTCTGGCTCTCTGCACGTATTCGCAGTTTGAAATTACGACTTTTTATACCCAACTTATGCCAAGTACTGAAAGCGGCGTTTGGTCATATTTGTCCCAAACCTCCCTGCAGTTTTCAAAATATCCCAAACATCCCAATTTCGAGGCCTGAGCCATATTTTGGAGCCAAATTCTGGCTCTCTGCACGTATTCGCAGTTTGAAATTACAACTTTTTATACCCAACTTATGCCAAGTACTGAAAGCGGCGTTTGGTCACATTTGTCCCAAAGCTCCCTGCAGTTTTCAAAATATCCCAAACATGCTAATTTCGAGGCCTGAGCCATATTTTGGAGCCAAATTCTGGCTCTCTGCACGTATTCGCAGTTAAAGTCGCTCCAAAATATGGTTCAGGCCTCGAAATTGGGAAGTTTGGGATATTATGAAAACTGCAGGGGAGTTTGTGCAAAATGTGACTCACTGCCGCTTTCAGTACTTGGCATATGTTGGGTATAAAAAGTCGTAATTTCAAACTGCGAATACGTGCAGAGAGCCTGAATTTGGCTCCAAAATATGGCTCTGGCCTCGATATTGGGATGTTTGGGATATTTTGAAAACTGCAGGGGGGTTTGGGACAAATATGACCAAACGCTGCTTTCATTACTTGGCATGTGTTCCGTATAAAAATTCGTAATTTCAAACTGCGAATACGTGCAGAGAACCAGAATTTGGCTCCAAAATATGGCTCAGGCCTCGATATTGGGACGTTTGGGATACTTTGAAAACTGCAGGGAGGTTTGGGACAAATGTGACCAAACGCCGCTTTCACTACTTTACATATGTTGGGTATAAAAAGTCAAAATTTCAAACTGCGAATACGTGCAGAGAGCCTGAATTTGGCTCCAAAATATGGCTCAGGCCACAAAATTGGGATGTTTGGGATTTTTTGAAAACTGCAGGGGAGTTTGTGCAAAATGTGACTCATTGCCGCTTTCAGTACTTGGGATATGTTGGGTAAAATAAATCGTAATTTCAAACTGCGAATACGTGCAGAGAGCCAGAATTTGGCTCCAAAATATAGCTCAGGCCTCGAAATTGGGATGTTTGGGATATTTTGAAAACTGCAGGCGGGTTTGGGACAAATGTGACCAAACGCCGCTTTCAGTACTTGGCATATGTTGGGTATAAAATTCGTAATTTCAAACTGCGAATACGTGCAGAGAGCCTGAATTTGACTCCAAAATATGGCTCAGGCCTCGAAATTGGGAGGTTGGGGATATTTTGTAAACTGCAGGGGAGTTTGTGCAAAATGTGACTCACTGTCGCTTTCAGTACTTGGCATATGTTGGGTATAAAAATTCGTAATATCAAACTGCGAATACGTGCAGAGAGCCAGAATTTGGCTCCAAAATAATGCTCAGGCCTCGAAATTTGGATGTTTTGGATGTTTTGAAAACTGCAGGGACGTTTGGGACAAATGTGACGAAACGCCGTTTTCCTCTCTGGGACTTGTTGTCAACGTACATGGCGCCCCTGCTCGGGGAGGCGTCCATTAGGGAGGCTCCGGCCTCCCCCGATGCTGTGAGCCCCTGGGTAGCTGCAGTGAGCACACACTGGCCCAAAAAAGCCAGCTGAATTCCAAGATGAGCCCCAGGCGAGGTCTGGAAAGAAAGTCCAGCCAGGAGCGTTCAAACTGCGCGCCAAGATGGCCGACCTTCGGGCGGGAATCTCCTCCACAACGAAACCTTTTATTGTAGAGCTGTTGACAACATACTTTTATCTCGACTTAAGTTTTCGCCACGCATATTTTTTTCTCATATGGAAAATACATTATCATCTTCACTATAAATGACTACTATAGCGTGTCATTTCTGCTCACACTCATCTCTAAATGAAATGCTTACAAATATTTCCCAAGACATCTTGAGGTTATCTTGAGATGATTTCGGGGCTTTAGTGTCCCCGCGGCCCGGTCCTCGACCAGGCCTCCACCCCCAGGAAGCAGCCCGTGACAGCTGACTAACACCCAGGTACCTATTTTACTGCTAGGTAACAGGGGCATAGGGTGAAAGAAACTCTGCCCATTGTTTCTCGCTGGCGCCCGGGATCGAACCCGGGTCCACAGGATCACAAGTCCAGTGTGCTGTCCGCTCGGCCGACCAGCTCCCTGGTCGACATAAACTGCCTCCTCCAGCCCGCCTCTTCCCTCATTCTAAATCCACAAACCCATCAACAATCCTCCTACTTCATGGGAAGGTCAAGCTTCCCATGACCTTGGAGTCATTGGATATGGGTTTGTGGATGACCTGACCTAGCAGTTTATGCCTTTTGGGAGATCTCCCCCCCCCCTGGCATATGCATTAATGATATATAATGCATATGCCAGCTAGTCCAAGTCTAATCTTAAGATAATTCTCCTATCTCTCAATTTATTCTTTACCTACTCTTCACAGCAAGTCTTTGTCACCCACATTGAACAATATTGTAAGTCTTCACTACCCCAAAACTTGCCTCGCCACCCAGCTTTTACCTTACCATACATCTTTGCTACCCATCATTTGGTTTGTATTAAACATTCAAGGTTAAATGTTTGCCCTTGATCACCTAGCAGCAATTGAGGATACAGATGTAAGCTGATTGGAGAATCGCGTTCTGAGTGTAAACTAGTAGAACGTAAGTCAAGAAACTGCAGATGGCCTATTGTCCTGCACGTGGCACTTCCTATTTATACGTGATCCAGTAATATGGATCCAGTGATCCAGTAATATGGATCCAGTGATCCAGTAGTATGATCCACAATCGATTTGAGAATGGTCCAGGACGGACAGAAACGTCGTTGTCCCTTCACGTTCTAGTTTGTGGTCTGGTCAACATATTTCAGCCACGTTATTGTGACTCGTCGCCTGCACATGATCCAGTAATTTGTTCCACAAATCCACAACCCAGTTACCAAACCAGTATTTACCCAGGTATTTCCTAAATCTGAACTTATCTTCATTTAAAGCCTTATCAATAGCTTCATTGTTATGCCCATTCATCTACTTGTTTTTCATTCAGTTAAGGTTTTTCCAACATCTCTTCATACGGATGCTTTCTAATTTGCGGGATTAACTTTGTCATCCTAACTGACGTGTTCTAGTGAATTATGTCCATTCTTTAGCATGGCGACCAAAACTGAACGGCATAATCTAAATGGGACCTAAAAACAATACGTTAATAAACCCAGCCGACTTATTGCTAACTCTTCTATAAATAAATCTATGGGAAAGAAAAGCTCTCAGCCTGCTAACAAGAGTGTACAAATCCACAAGGGCCGGGACGAGGATTCAAACCTGCATCCGAGAGCATCCCAGACGCTGCCGTAATCGACTGAGCTACGGCATGGTCAAAAAGGAGTTGAAACCGAAGTTCTACTGAAATTACTGGATCCTGCAGCCTCTCCGAGGCACAAACCAAGTGTTAGTGTAACAAGAATGTGAAGTTGACTACGTCCATCTAGTTCCACCCGCTCCTCCCCAGAACTGGTTGTTAACTTTACCTTGACTCCTCTGATCCAACACTTGTCCACACGTGTCACACTCCTGAAAAAATAATTTTTACATATATTAAGGGCAAGTATAAGTAATTCGCAGGCGATGAGTCACAATAACGTGGCTGAAGTATGTTGACCAGACCACACACTAGAAATTGAAGGGACGACGACGTTTCGGTCCGTCCTGGACCATTCTCAAGTCGATTGATAAGTAATTATCAAAAGAATGCACCAAACCGGGAAGGCTATGTAGCACCAGGGTAAGTATAAACAGTTTATTTCAAATACAATCGAGTAGGAAAATACAATTATGAATTTCAAGAACACTGGAACCAATCACTGGAAAAGGTGAAATTGCAATGGAGATTAATTACAGATTGTATCAACAATAGTGAGTAGGCAAGACTGATAAGACTGCAATAGCCTAACGGAATACATTTTTGTCTCCGACTCATGAGGCTATGGTTAAGCATCAATGTTCTTTTAAAGTTACATAGAAACACATTACCTTATTACGGTCTTCCACTGAAACAAACCTTTAGCTAACCTTAGATAAAAGTACTGTGTATTATTAATTTATATAGCTGTCTATTGGCCTAAATTATATAAATAACATGTTTAAAACCTCTTAAGTACAGTATATGGTCTCTGGGGCCAGATTCACGAAGCAGTTACGCAAGCACTTACGAACGTGTACACCTTTCCTCAATCTTTGACGGCTTTGTTTACATTTATTAAACAGTTTACAAGCA